CAGGAGCCGGAGTCCGAGACCGCCATATCGAGTCGGGAGGACAGCCTGTTCCCAACTGGCTCCTGTGAGCTTGACGTTGCTGATGCTTGTCAGAGCCGACTGCATGACTGCGTCCAGCTGGCTGAGCAGACTGGCTTGCCGGTAGAGTGGAGAAGCTCGCAACAGATATTGAAGCTTCGGTAGCCAGATACAGTTGCGTAGCAGGAAGAGCGCGGTGTGGGCGTCCAAGTGATGTAAGCGCTCTACCATGTGCTTGAGCTCACCCTGTTTTTCCATGACGGTATCGGCTGCTGCTTCAGTGATGGGAGCGCCAAGAATGGTCTGCTCCGAAGCGCCGAGGACAGCTGCACCTGGGATAAGCTCGTGAATTCTTCTCACTGCCTGCATTGCCTCTTCATCAGCGCTGCCATCTGGCAGAATTATCTCGCACTTGGGTATAGGTACACTGTAAACCAAATTGACAAGTCTTGTGTAATATAACCAATCATCTCTTGGTATGTTTACCAACTGATACTTTTTAAACAAGCCGTTGTCTGGTGCATTGCTTGTCAGGTGACAACTACGAGTCAATAGATACTATGCACACCAACTTCTCAGTATCCAGACCAACTCTACATTTGTTTCAACGTTTGTTTCTTAACCAGTTTTGGAAACTTGTTGCCGCATGGTTATTTAACCGGCGCCTAACTTGTACTAGTCAGCTGGTCAGCATACACATGGTCAGCTGCGCCTATGACGTCAGACTTGGCGGACCAATCAGCGGTCGCCGCCAGCCGTTAGCGGGCCCGGCGCGGCGGTTTCGAACCAGCAGTTGTCGCGCGGCCGCCGTGCAGCCTGGAGCAGCGACGAGGGCTGTTCCAGCATTTCTGCAGTAAAAAGTGAAATCTGTGAACTGTGGCGTTCGTGCTGTGAGTGAGGCCCCCTCTGGCCTGCGGGACGCACTATCGTGCCTATACCGCGTTCGAGAAGCCTCCCTTCCCCTGCGCGCGCATGTAAGGGCCAGACCTGTGCATGCACATGTGAGAGATTGTTTTGCGGTCGGGGTTTTATGTATAATACATTTATTTGCCTTTAATTAAACTCTTTGTGTTTTTAACTTAACTGATGGACAATATGAACTGTAAAAGCTAATCTGGTTGGCGATCATGATTTATTCGAATTATCTGCGTGATCGTGCAAATGCCATGAGTGTTATGGTCAATGTTCACGAAATATTCGTCATACGGGCTTATATCTGGCTTGATGCGGGCACAAAAACCATGTTCTTCCACATACGCAGCAATTCTTGCTTCAAAGACTTATATGCTGACGGTGCACGATAGGCATACCCACTGGGTTATACCTCATGCATTTACCACATCCATTCGAAAATATGCACTCGGAATTGTCTCCAGTCAATAGTATTAATTACGTGACCGTAATAAATAGTAATGATCCCAGAAACTTCCGAATGGATGTGGTGTATGCATTCATTGATTATATAACTCATCAGTATTTCGTTTCTTGTCAGCGCAAGCCTTTGAGCAATAACTGATGCCAGTCATGGTATTGTGCACCACTTCCAGGCAAAAAATAACCTGTCCGTATATAAAATATTTCCTGAATCAGTATCGTCGCAATTGAAAACGAACGCGAATCGTAAGTTCTTAAGGTTATCAACGCAAACAAAGCGATTGTTGACAAGCTCGAACAGAGCGTTAGTACACTTACTTGTTGACAATTTGTAAGCTAGCAATGCCCAGTCAAAGGCTAGTTCATCAACAAACCAGGGGTTGGTGAACCGACAAGGAAACGAATATGCCTATCCAGAAGTTGGTAGGTCCACAAGGCCCAGACTAGTACTCAACAAGGTGACGCCTATGCGAATTGGAACCAAACTTGTAGACAAACTGTTAGTTTTTGGCCAACAAGCCTGGGGTTGGTGAATCGACAAGGTATCGACAAGGTGACGCCTATGCGGATTGGAACCAAACTTGTAGACAAACTGTTAGTTTGTTGGCCAACAAGCCTGGGGTTGGTGAATCGACAAGGTGACGCCTATGCGAATTGGAACCAAACTTGTAACAAGGAGCCAACTTGTAGATTTGGTTTACAGTGTAGGGGCACCACTTCGATTCATGACCCTCCCCTTGGAGTTTTCCTGGATCCGCCCCTGTTCTTAGTGTATACTTTTATTGATTAGTCATATTTATATTAGGTATATTTTTATAGCAGGTATATTTTCACCATATTATTTTTACTATATGCTTTTATTGTGTAGGCATGTAGCATGCAAAGCTAGTAGACTCTTATCTATTCTTTCTTTCGATGTATTCGTATGTTTTTGACTTCGCCTCTCAATGGGTACTGCCTGTTGGCGATGTTGTGAAATAAACAAATAAACAAATATTAGGAGGTATTGCTTCTTCCTGCGCACTGAAAGCATACAGAGGAAAAACATAAATATATAGGGTGTTCCGTGTTCAGTGTTCAGTAAAAATTGACAATCTTCAGAACGCTGTATACTAGACGTGCAGTAAGCAATTACGCTACTGATTAGCATATTATCAAAAACGAATATTTCTTAATAGGGCACGTGCTCAATAATTTGAAATAACTTCAGTTCAACAGTCGCGATGGAGGGCGTTTCGGAAGAGGACCGCCGAAAGGTCATTGGCAGCTTTTACCAGAAGCATAGCATTGGTCTATGGGAAAGGCATACACATATACGTACTTCTTGAAACTCGGAATTTCGAAGACAACCTCTTACCGGGCCATGAGAAAGATGGATAAAGGCGAGTTTCTAGTCAGAAAAACTGGAAGTGGTCGCAAAGCAAAGAAGATGACCTCTAAAAAGGCCAAGGCCCTGAAGAGGTACTTTGGGGTCTTGGAGAGAATCTTTGGGGGCCTCGCAGCGCAAGGTTACTATGATTGGTTACTGTGATGCTACTATACATTGATGGTATAAGGTTACCATTCACTTCCACACAACGACCATCGACGTTGGTGTGAGGCTTGAGTCATGCTTTCATCGCCTCTATTCTAAGCTGGAAATTAACTTCTTTTCTTATGCACTGAAAACTAACGAGGTCTTACTTGGTATTCCACACGCAGACCTTGGCCTACATTTACATAGAGCGCAGTTTCCCATACAAGGAATGTTTCAAGTTAATAGCTCAGTGCACTCAAACTGGTCATAATGCAATGACTAAGGGCAGACCGCTGGCCTTCAACGCTACTACACATTCTTCCGGCCGCCTTCGAGATTATGTAGGAAGCGTACCAGCTGCCACAAATGTTGAATAGCGCTTCACTTTGGTAGCCAGGAGTAAAACATTCTCACGTCATCCTCAATCCTCAACATTATCACGTCAGTCTAGATTTGATTTCGGCAAAATACAAATCACAAACAAATGCCATGGTTGGACTGTTGAGGGAAAAGGAAGGTGATCTGCATTACAGTAGACTTATAGCAATCACGAACAACGTTATGTAAATGGCTGCCTGAACAGCTGCAATCAGTTCTATGCATACCTTTAGAGGCCTAGGGGCCTGGGGACTTCCGCAATCGGCACCACCCAGTCCCTGTTCAGCGTTCGGGGTTACCGACGCCAGCGGCTGTCTAGTTTCCATAGCAACCAGCACTGAATCAAACACAGACATAATTAGGAAAGGTGTTAGAGACCATGATAATCAATGAAGTTGACAAGTGAATAGGTTTGAAAGCTGTTGCCTGGTGGCGTAATGCAGCGAAGGAAGCCAACAGCGTCAGCTTATGAAACGCCGGTATCGACTCTGAGGCCCGGACAACGCATACGGCCGCACTGCGGACCGTGGAGACGTGTATAACTGACATATTTACTTAAGCATGCACATGATGGTACAATTGTAAATACGGATAGAGGGAACTGAAAGTCGATACGCTTGTTCCGCTTGGTCACTTCATTGTCAAATCTAGGGGTAAGACTTTATGATCACTCAGTTATAAGGAAAACAAACAAACAAATCAACATATATCATTCCAGAACCTGACAATAGTTAAGTGGCTACCTACACGCCATTCGTATGAGCTATGGAATCATTGCAGGAACTGGATAACTGACGCAGTAAGGAACTAGCGTTCAACTATCCACCTTTGAAAAGATAATCACACCCTCTGATGTGATCTCCCACATTCCATCTCCTCTGTGAAAAGGTATCACAACCCCTAAATCCCCACAATGCTCCGCTCTGACTTTGGACCGGCTGCCGTGTCCCGGCAGCCGGCAGGTGAGGAGGCGTGGCGCGGTGACGGCGCCAGGCGTGACGTCACTGGCCGCCGGCGGCGGACTGCAGGTGGACGGCGGCTGATGGTCGACTGCCTACCCGACACGCAGCACACAGCCAACAGGGCGGAACTGTGCCGTAGCCGGGCGCTACCGGAGCAGCGGCCGCATACGCACCGTCAGCAAACTTTGACAAGTCACTGGCTAGGGACGGTCTCTTCAGTTTACCAAAAAGTGACCGATGTGACCTCATGACCGATATACGCTAAGCTCCCCAACCAAATTTGGTTAATGGTTGACAACCGACTAGATCACAACCAAAACAAACGACGGCGGTACGGGCAGTACGTCTGATCGATGTCAGATAATCGTGCGAACGTCCTTGTCCTACCTTGAACCGTGTCAACACATACGGCTCCGCTCCAGCACTGATTCAGGCCGACCTACGTGCACGAGTGAATGCAACAGTGATGTCCGTCCATCCCGGGCTGGGAGCCTTGCCTCAGCTATCAGACGCCAGGCACGAAACGAGCAAAACACAGACTGGAGAGTATAAACAACAGGGCGAAAGCGGCACGGCTCGGCGCTGTTTCGACACCGCAGCCGGAGAGCTCGGGCGCTGGGGAAGCACTTTCAAGCTGCCGCTCACCTGCGGGACGGGCTCAGGGCGGAGCCAACAGAGCGGGCGGCCAGTACCTACTGTCAGCCGTGAGCCGGGGAAGGAGCGCTGGCTGCCCTGCCCTCACCGACACTCACCTGTTGAGCACGAGTCCCGTCTCGGGCCGATCTGACAGAGTGCCACGGCCCTCTTCCTCCCGCACCGCTGCGCACTGCTCACCGCCGGGCCGTGCTGACCGCGCAACTGGCGGTCCGCCGGCGGCGACCGCGAGCCGCGCGGTACGGGCCGCCTCCAGCCGGCAGCGGCGGTGCCAGGCGCGCTGGAACGGGGGCACCGCGAGGCCGCCTCCGCCGCCCCGGCTCCGTCCCTCTGACCGCCGCCGGAATGGCAGGGAGGAAAACCTGCGCGCTTCCGCAGGGAAAAGGCACCGCGCCGCGGCACAGGCTCACCTCTGTGACGGACAGCTGATGTGGGCACTGCACAATGGAGGCCGCCCAGTGCCGCGAGCGCTGACCTCCCTGGCACATCCCCATCGGCGCGTCCCTGCCAGTTCCCGAGAGGCCGGCAAACCTGTTGGCTTGCCGAGGATTTTCCGTCGCCATGGCTGTGAATCAGGGAAGGAGTTCGACCTGTATCGGGAATCCTACAATCCAACAGGACCAACAGGTGTAACGTGCATCCAGATAAACAAAGCGCCGCGTTCTTAGCTTGGTGCAAGTTTGGTTAGATAGTGTGAGCATTGTGCAGTGTGCATGTGGCCAGGAAATGGGCCTCTGCCGACCGTGGCCTGCCTTATAATCAGATGAGCTGTCCGTGTTTTGCGGCGATAGCACAAAGAGTGCGGTGTGCAGCAGGGTCGTCGCCAAGGTCAGGGGGCAATGACCTTCCCTGAGTGACCCAAAGATTACTTTTCTTAGTTTGAAGCAATGAGCTCAATGCTTATATCATGTTAAGTTACAAGATGATGTTCTAAGTTCTAACACCATCTCACAATTAAAAACGATTTTGAAAATGCAGCGCAACGTTAAGTTGTTGACCGGTAAAGAACCAGCGAGCGCCGAGCACGGACAGTCAATAAATAAATATGGACGGTCAATAAATAATGTAAAATCATATATAGTCTGGCAAACCTAAGAAAGAATGGATTTAAAGTGCTGCGGCTGTTGATGCATGTGCATTTATATTGTGAGGGCTTTGTTTATCTGGATGCACGTTACACCTGTTGGTCCTGTTGGATTGTAGGATTCCCGATACAGAACGCGCATTATATCTCTTCTCTCACAAGTTTTCACATAAATTTATCCGAACAATGCATTTCAGATGACTGCAACACGTGCAAAGTGATGGAGGCGCTTTAACTCTGTTCTTTCTTAGGTTTGCCAGACTATAGTATTTGCATTTTAATTTAGCCAATCGTTGGCACCACGACATAAGCCCATCACACATTTAGTGAAATTTCGTCTGCTATCAAGTAGGATTTTTTAAGCCTGTCCGATCGTCTGAAGTGCACAAATCAATGCACAAATGACAAATGAATAGGACGAAGTCCTACAGCACGAGACGAGCTATAGGACTGAACAGAAAGTGAAAAAGTAAAATCAAGAGTAGGATGATATTTTCGGTAGGTCAGTTTTAAGATATTGAGACCCAGTCACGTGTGCATTTCACTAGAGCATTAAAATGCCTAGGTAGTAGGTATGCTTTAACCCTCGCGGGCCCCCGGGGGGGGGCGTTTTTCGCCCCCCCCCCGGCGAATATTTGAGATAGCTCCCGAACGCTTAGGGATAAGAAAGCGAAACTTTCAGTACCTTTTCTCCCATCAATTTGACATCTTCTGAAATTTGCATCCTGCCGTCCTCTAGAACGCTTACTTTGAGATCACTACACATGTGCCGGTTTTTGCCTTTGACCTTGACCTCTGACCTTGAAAATTGACTTGAGGTCAAAAATTTTAGGTGCTTTAGAATCGTCTCGTAAAGACCTTTCGTTTGGTATCGCTTTTGTTTCCATAGCCCCCTTATTTACGGAGTTAGACGGGGGGGGGCGAAAAACGCCTCCCCCGGGCTGCGGTGGTTGGGATTACCCCCGGGCCCGGCCGGGTTAACCCGCGAGTTGCTGGGGGGGGGCGTTAAACGCCCCCACTTTTTTCGCCGGGCCATAGCATAAAAACGGCGCGCCGCAGGCGCGCCAAATTTTGGGTGCCTGTAGGGAATTGATTGAAGTTTATTGTGACAAAGTTTCAAAAAAATCGGTCGGAAATTTTTTGAGATATCGAGGTTTTAGTGACGTCATGATTTCTGAGTTTTCGACCAAAAACGGCATATGTTCAAAAAATCATATAAAATCACAGAATAGACATACAGACATGCCGTAAACGCCATTAGACTGCCAATACCATGATCAATCAAATGGCTATCTTCGATTATTGATTATCGTTCCGCATTTTCCATAATCTTGAACTGAATCGTGGCAATTTCTCGTGACTACTTCACGACCATGATACATGCATTTCTTAAATTGAACTTTTTGAGCCAAATACGTACACATATGATAAAATGAATGTCACCATCGTGTTCTACGCCCCAAATTACCTATAAAACATGTGTCACAGGCTGCGAATATCAGTTTTGATTTTCGGGGATATGTGCCTACCCGGTTGACCTGACCTTGACCCTGACCTATGCTTGACTGACCCCTACATGGAGCTGACACTCTTGTAGGCCTTATATGATGGATTGTGCACCGTTTGGACAGAGTTTATGACGATAGGCGCCCATTGCGAAGTCCTGAAGTCCATGCTACTGAAAGCTCGATTTCAGGTGTTTGACCTGACCTTGACCCGACCTGTGACCTCAACATTCAACTTTAAAGTACTCATCTGAAGCGTCTCGTCGCGCTCTTTCGTTTGCCGCCTCGTGCGTTTCGCTGCGCCTATTGGTTCTCGAGTTATCGGCCGGGGGTGCGTTTAACGCCCCCCCCCCCCCCCCAGCAAACGGTGGGTGGCGAAATACCCCAGCAACTGCCGGGTTAAGAAATCCGGCTTTATAGTGTGTTCCGTTTCATATCAACCTTGCAAGCAAAGTGACCTCCTTAAAACAGTGCGTGATCTCAGTACGCATTATATTGTAAGACGAAAGGCCACCCCACACTGGACCTCGCATGCGGGTTGCGAGTTTGCGAGTTTTGAGTTTGCGGGCATAATACTAATTCATAGAGTGATTAGACCGTATCTTTATGGTAACTTCTTGAATGCAGTGAAGCCGGTACACCTTCAGAAAATTACACATAGTCGCAATACCACCGCAACGAACCAAAATTGGACTCCAACGAAAAACCCGCAAACCTCGCAGATCTCGCAGACCTCGCAGCGAGGAAAATCGAAAGTTGGCTCAAAATCAACTTTTGGAATGCGATGCAAGGCGGCTCGCAAGCTAAAAACATGCAGACTCGCTTTTTAGATGGTAGTGTGAGTCACTCAGCCTAGATTGTATTATTCGATTTTGAAGAAACCCGAAAACCCAAAAACTCGCAACCCGCATGCGAGGTCCAGTGTGGGGCGGCCTGATGAATTGTCCCCAGTGCCAGTCGCAAGGCCATATACCTGGTGGCCCAAAAACGTCCCAAAATTTGAAAGTATATCTCGAGTTACAATGCAAACAGTAATCTGAAAATTTTATCACATTTGCGTCACTTCTGTGTGCATCGGTATACTAAATTTTAAAGCTGTACATTCATTTTCCCGCTAGCACTCTTCAAGTTGAATAAAGTAGCACGTTTTTGGTTATTTTGCCGATTTTGAACCATGATGAGGTTTGGTTTAGACGTATACTGTGATAAAAAAACTAAAAAATAGAGCACGTGAATAACACCAGCACGTGTGTTATTATTTCATTTTTTTGTCATACATATGTGCCCAAATATTCCGACTCAAGACACACTTTGGTTCCAACAGGACGGCGGAACTGTCCACACAAACACCGCAGCTCGAGGCTGGCTCAGAGACAAGTTCGGGGCGGCCGGGTCATAAGCCGGCTGACGGATCGGCCATGGCCGGCTCGCAGTCCAGATTTGTCCCCGCTGGACTACTGGTTTTGGTCGGTGGCCATTTCAGAAGAACGAAGATGTGCTCCATCTTCTCTGCAGCAGCTGATCGGCCCAGTGGAGGACCTGGCGGCCGCCATGCATCGAGAGGATGTAACGCATGCCGTCTCTAGCATCCATCGACGAGCCGCTATATGTGTGGAAAGAGCCTCTGTGGAGACCGTTTAGATGGAAGCCTGCATGTCAGGCATAGTTAACAAAATGTTTATCTATTGTGGTTATCGTGATATATTTAAATGATGAAAATATGTTTCTGTCTGTCTTTGGGCGGTTTAAAAAACAACAGTCTACCAGAAAAACCCTGTAAAGCGGAATAAGATTCACCAAGGGGATGATTACAAAGATTTGGTAATCCAGGTTCTGAACACCGGGCACCGACTGATGGCGAGGACGTGGGCCTGCGCCCAGGCCACTGGCCTCCCTCTTCTAAACGGTCCACCAGTCCCGAGACCCCTCGGCCCAACTCCAGCCCCCACCCCAGACGGATACGTCTCCGACGCGCTACGTCAAAGAGCGTGAAGAGCTATATCGCCTGTCGGTGGAGCGGGTGAGCCCCTTTAGACCAGACCAGAGTGGAGTCTAATGGAGATTCCATTTAAGAACGTCAACTCCAAGCGGCAATACACCCAACACTTGACGCGCCTCCTGCGAGCATCCTACAATCCCCTTGACAATGACACGCGCCTCCTGGGACCGGACAATCCCCTCGAGAGCCTAGACTTCCGAGTCCTGGTGGCGGGCACCTCCTCGCAGGAAGCGGTGCGCAGCACCCTCTCGTTTTTTTTTTTAGGGAAAAGTACCCGACCGGGTACATAATGTGCATGACCCTAAGTGGGTGATCAAAATGATCGGGGGCAGGATTATCGTAGTTCAGGATGACCTCGAGCTGCGCTGGCAGCAGTATCTCGAGGCCCTGGGCAAGCTCATCGATTATGAGCTGTCGATGGCGGCTGACTCTCGAAAAGAGGCCAAGCGTGCCCGTCGAGACCGCAAAGTCGAGGCGTACCAGAACGACCCAGGTACGGAGAGTCGCGCCAGGGTCCGGGAGCGGGGCCTGCACTGGCTCCGCGAGATGCAGGAGTTCTGGTTTCAGGCGTGCGAAGATGATCCCGAGTCGGTGGCGAGGCTCTCCGCCCAAGTCCTTTACATTCTATCGAACCTGTT